CTCCCAAGTTAATCCGGATAGGGGCTAAAAGCACCCAACTCTCCTCTTTGCCGAAACCTTGTAGTCCATGAAGCTCTTTGATAAAAGGAGGAGACACACCTGAGATCTCTGTAAAACGAAGTCGCAGAGGGAGCCTCCGAGAGAGAAAAACACAAGCCAGTAAAGAGACCATTCATCACTCCAAAGTGACGAGGAAAGGCCCCACCGCAACAAACACAACCACGAAAGACGGATCCGAGATGGCAGCAACTCAAAGCCAGAAAGAGCTCCATGACCTGCAAGAAATAAAAGCGGAGCAACACTGCTATAGGGTTCAAGAGAAGCACCCACAGCACTGGGAAGTGCTAAACCGCCGATTGGAGTCACCGAGTGAAAGCTGTAGCTCAGGAGACAACCCAAAACCATCAAACACTCACCAAAAGCTAGTCTCGAGAACCGAGAGCCAGATACTTCGCATAGACAAGACGATGTCCGGTGACAAACGGACAACTCACTATCACTGAAAACAGGAGCAACCACACTTGAGACTTTCCGGAAAGCACCAAACATGAAACTGGAAAGAGCCGGAAGAAGAGAAGCAGAGAGCAAGAGGATGCAACGCCGCCTCGGAAAGGTCATAGACGACCTCACCGACACCGCAACGAGCAAAGAACTCTGCGAGCTTGCACCGTAAGCACAGACACACGCCAACGCCGACGGTAAAGACACGCCTTCGAGGAAGAGAGAACCTCCGAAGCGCTCCCTGGTGAAAGCTTGTAGAACGCGTTCCTCCAAGACGCCGAGGAAGAGACAAACAAACCACAGCCATCACCACTCAGCCACAGACCAAAGGGGGCAGATAACACACCGGATCTGGAGAGAGCCGCACCACCGCCTCCACGCGCCGCCAACTCGCCAAGCGGCTTAAGGAACCACTTGAGAAACCCTAAAAAGCCGGCTCCACTTAAATCAGGCCCAGCACCTGCCGCGCCACGACTCCAACACCAGCAAGCTCGCTTTCTGGCCGGTGACTCTTCGCGAGCAGAGACAGAGCCGAACGGAACCTCTGGAGGCAGAAACCAAAAGCAAAGCGGACAGGGAGGGAGAGATCTCAGTAGAGCAAAGAGCAACAGAGATTAAGGGAGGAGAGGAGAGCTCCGACGCCGGGAACGCGCTCGCACGCGCTGGACGACGTCGGACCCGAGGTCAATTCTTTGCTTGTGGTCGAGAGAGAAAGTGTGACTTCTTATTTAGTTCCCGACTTTTGTCTGCGGTAGAACCAAACAAAAGTTCCAACGCGTTGACACTCGACTTGCGACTCTGGAAGATTTGGCTCCTTTAGAGAGGTGCAAGCTTATGCTATTTCTCCTAAACTCCAACTGATCAAAGAGGTCGCTAAGCTTGGACAGATAATCATGGAAGCAAAGAAAGTGACAACATAGCTAAGCAGCACAGGCACGGGTACGGGAACTGGAAACGGGGACGGGAAACGATAAAATAAAAAATATTAGCTACGGGTACGTTATAGAGACGACCAAAAAAAATAAAATATATATATATATATATATATATATATATATATATATATATATATATGCCACAAGTTAAACATATATATATTTAGATTAATGTTTCAGAAAATCAGGAACCAAAATATAAAAAACATAAATATCCATAGTCAAATTATTAAAATCCGAAACATAAGTTTAAGCATTAAAACATACACTTGTTCAAAATATAAGAAAGAAAAACCAAATATGCTAATCATCCAATAGTTCATTTTCAAAGTCTGATTCATCAAGAGAGAGGTCAGCAAACTCCAAGAATCTCACATCTTCCATAAAATCAAATTCATCTCCACCAACATCCCACATCTTTGTCTTTTCAGTTTTATATTGGTCAGAATTCATTGATAGAAGTCGTAAGTTGTTGTGGATGAAAACCAAGTCTTGAGCACGACTAGGAGTTAACCTATTCCTTTTTAGTGAATGAATGAATGCGTAAGTGCTTCAATTATGCTCAGCACACGAAGATGAACTAGGCTGTCCAAGTAACTTAAAAGCCAAAGCTTGGAGTAAAGGAGTTTGAGCACCAAAGTTAGCCCACCAACTTTTGGGTTCCATAGTAGACATCACTGAAATGCATGTTAAATCTTCAAAAGGACCATCTCTTCCCAAATCTTTATTTAGCCAATCATCACTATAAAATCTAGTTTATACATATGACATGAAAAAATGAAATGATAAATCATACCTTGGATTCAATGCGTGAGCTAGACAATGTAAAGGAGTGTTACTTTTTGTCCAGCGAGCCACCAAAATTTCATAAACAACATTATAGAAGGGACTGAATTCAGACATTGGACGCTTTTCTCTCTTGTAAATCTCGGCCTTCACCTTTTCAATCATAGAATCCCGCATCTCATATACCAAGTGAAGACATGGCTTGTCGGTGTCACAAAATCTAATCATCTCATATGTAGATCTTGTGAAATCAAAAATATAAGACACCTTTTCCCACCAGTCATCATCCACAATCTTTTCTTTAACAAAGTTTGCTTTCCCAACATCATCATCCCTACAAGTAGACCATTCATCACTTATAACCATGGCTTAAAGACCCCTTCTGATAAGCTTCAATCTCCTACGCATCACAATGATTGAGGCAAAACGTGTATCAGCAACTTGAAGTAATCTCATCGGACAGAACTTACCAAAAGCAAGTCTGATGCCATGGTTCATGATGAAGTTTTTTATTGCAAGAGCATCTCCATGAATTTCAGTAATCCAATTACACTCCTCATATGTTTCTTGATTCCTTTCCACATTCTTTGCTGAACATATATTCTTCAAAGCTAGATTGAGAGTATGAACAACACATGGTGTCCAATAGATGTGAGGAAACATGCCCTCGATAAGGTCTCAAACAGCCTTACAGTTTGGTGCATTATCAGTGATTACTTGCACAACATTCTGATCACATACTTGATGAATAACTTCTTCCAACAATTTAGCAATGAAGACTTTGTCTTTCACTTCACCGAAACAATTCTCAGCCTTAAGAAACATAGGAGCACTTCCAGAAATAACTATGAAATTAATAAGAGGTTTTCTTACAGGATCGCTCCAACCATCACTCACAATCGTCACCTCTCTTTCCTTCCATGTTGATTTTAGTGGCACTAACAACTTCTCGACATTGTTCTTTTCTTGCTGAAATAAAGTCGTCCGGAGTCTGTTATAACTTAGAGGTACATAGCCATCAATTTTGTTGGCAGCAGCAAACTGATAAGACCGTTGGTAGCTAGGATTTCTAACAAGATTGAATGGTAGACCTCATGTGTAAAACATCCTTGAAATTTCTTGATCCAACTGATCTTTAGCTTGAATACCAAATGCTGCGAAAATTGGTGAAAAACAAGATTTTCTTTTTTTAGAAAGAGATTCACACGCCAATGGAACTTCTCTAGATCCCGACTCAGATTTCTTCAGCTCAAATTCATTTTCCAGCTTCTTCACTTCAATCTTTACAGCCATTGTTGCTCTTGCACAAAGGAAATCCCCTGCCCTTTCACTCCAAGTAAATGAGCTTTGACTCTAGAATATGATCCTTGTCGAATCTCATTACAAAAACTGCACTTGAATCTCCAAGTTCCTCATGTTGCTCCTAGTTTCTCCAATTTAGTAACATAATTCCATAGTGGAGGTTCTTCTTTTTCACTTGATGAATCAGTTTGAGAGTTCATCTTCTTAATCTGAAATTATAGAAGACATATGATACATCAAATAAAACCAGAGACAAGAGACACACGTAATCATATATTTGTATACACTATACAGAAATACACAAAAAAATCATAAAGTTCAAAGTTGCTAATGAAAAATATTTAAATAACAAAGCACTAATAAAATCAGAAAGAGACAAGAATAAACATGCTTACGTGTGTTGTTGCTTGCTGATGAGGAGAGAAACTAAGAACTTTGACACTCACGAGATTTGTATCATTCGGTTTGTGCTCATGAGATTTGTATCATTCGGTTTGTGATGATGAGTGCTACAGAGAAACGTTGTTTGTCTCTCATAGAGGGTTGAGATTTGAGAGTCAAAGAGAAACAAGAAGATGGGAGAGGAAGAGACTGATGTGGAAGTCGAAGAGACTAAAAGACTTTTCAATTTTGATAAACAAATTTTTATTACATATTTTCAGAATTACAAGAAGAATAAATGAAAAACAAAGTTACACTTCGTAAATCACAAAACCAAACACACGATACGTCCCTTTTGGCCGGAAAGGGGACGTCTCCCATTTTTGACCAACCCCGTCCCCGTCAAGTCGTGCCGTCCCGGTTTCACCTTGCATGTGTTGGGGACGTTTCCCTGCCATACCCGAGACGTATCCGTCCCCCATCCGAACCCGGTATGTGAGATGGCACCAATATGGCGTCCCCGTGCAACATAGCAACATAGAAAGAAGAGACATGGAGGAGAGAGATTATAACTTTTGGAATTCGTTTTTGACAATATGGTTTAAGATCATTTTTGGTAAATTTCCGGGCGAACACCTTCGTTGAAATAACCTAACTTTTTGCACTAATGTAATTCCATGTCAAAATCAGAATTAGTTTAAATGAAAAATGGAGATATATATTGAAGACTTGAAAAGCTTGTAAAGCTTTAAAATTTGGCTAAATATAAAAAAATTAGCAGATAAACATTTTACAAATTATAGATTTGGGTTTATGATTTAATTTGTTAAGTGGGCATTTGTTCATTAACTTATTAATTTGCACCAACATAAGTATATGTTAATCTTTTGCCAGTGTGTATGATTTAATTTACACAAAAAAACAAGTCATTATGAAGGATATTAGTTTTGGAATTAGTCAAAATAATATCTTCATACTCCCTCTGTTTCATTATAAGTGTCACTCTACAGCTGTGCACACGGATTAAGAAAACAATTAATTTTACATATTTCCTATATAAAAACACAGTTACCCATACACCTAACCATATTTTAACCAATAGAAAAACAAAATATATAATAAATTTTGCATTGAAAACCGAAAACGACACTTATTTTGTAACGCAAAAAATTCTTTACAATGACAGGGTCCGACTGGTTACAACGCAGCGATAGCGGTTGCGGTTGCGGGCGTTTGCGGATGTGGGTGGTTGCGGTTTCTAGCGTTATTAGGCGATTTGTACGACTGGTACAGCGATTAAAAATTGGTCCGTTTGCGGGACATTTATGACTGGTTGATTATGAGATACTACAGCGGTTCAATAATAAATTTCCAATATTAACA